GAACTAATATCTAGAAGACAAAAGTTAAAGTTTTTTCTTTTAATGGTGATATTCTATCTTTTTTTTTTTCTCACTTATTAGCCATGTTGTTGTGTGCTGTCAAGTCGATTCTGACTCAGTGAAACTGTATGACAGGGTAGAACTGCCCCCATAGGATTTCTCAGGCTGTAATCTTTATCTGCCACCACTCATCCGTCAGTCTGTAGTACTGTGGTGGCTTGCCTGTAGCTGTAAATGCTGAAAGCCTTGCCACTGGTATTTCAAACACCAGCTGGGTCACCCAGGGTGGACAGGTTTCAGCTGAGCTTCCAGACTAAGACAGACTAGGAAGAAGGACCTGGTGATTGACTTCAAAAAAAATTGGCCAGTGAAAACCTTATGAACAGCAGCAGAGCATTATGTGATATAGTGCCTGACAATGAGGCCATCAGGTCGGAAGGCTCTCAAACTATGACTGGGGAAGAGCTGCATCCATAAAGAAAAGTCGACCTTAATGATGTGGATGGAGTCAAGCTTTCAGGACCTTCATTTGCTGATGTGCCATGACTCAAAATGAGAAGAAACAGCTGCAAACATCCACTAATTACTGCATCGTGGAATGATGAAAGTATGAATTTAGGAAAACTGCAAGTCATCAAAAATGAAATGGTACACATAAAGATCAATATCCTAGGCATCGGTGAGTGGAAACAGACTGGTATTGGCCATTTTGAATTGGACGATCATATGGTTTACTACGCTGGGAATGACACACTGAAGGGGAATGGCGTCGCATTCATTGTCAAAAAGAATATTTCAAGATTTATCTTGAAGTACAACACTGTCAGTGACAGGATAATATCCATATACCTACAAGGAAGACCAGTTAATATGACTGTTATTCAAATTGATGCACCAACCACTAACACCAAAGATGAAGAAAGTGAAGATTTTTACCAACTTCTGCAGTCTGAAATTGATCAGATAAGCAATCAAGATGCATTGATAATTACTGATGATTGCAATTCGAAAGTTGGAAACAAAGAAGCAGCAGTAGTTGGAAAACATGGCCTTGGTGATACAAACAATGCCGAAGATGACACGATAGAAATTTGCAAGACCAACAACCTCTTCACTGGAAATACCTTTTTGCAACAGCATAAACGGTGACTATATACACGGACCTCACCAGATGAAATACACAGGAACTGACCACATCTGTGAAAAGAGGCGATGGAAAAGCTCAATATCATCAGTCAGGACAAGGCCAGGGACTGACTGCAGAACAGACCATCAATTGCTCGTATGTCAGTTTAAGTTGAAACTGAAGAAAATTAGAACAAGTCCATGAGAAGCAAAGTACAAACTTGAGTATATCCCACCTGAGTTTAGAGAACATCTCAAGAACAGATTTGACACACTGAACACTAATGACCGAAGACCAGATGAGTTGTGCAATGACATCAAGGACATCGTACATGAAAAAAAAAAAAAAGGTCATTAAAAAGATAGGAAAGACAGAAAAGAACAAAATGGATGTCAGAAGAGACTCTGAAACTTGCTCTTGAATGTCAAGTAGCTAAAGTGAAAGGAAGACATGATGAACTAACAGAGCTGAACAGAAGATTCCAAAGAGCAGCTTGAGAGACACAGTATTATAATGAATTGTGCAAAGACCTGGAGTTAGAAAACCAAAAGGGAAGAACACACGTGGCATTTCTCAAGTTGACAGAACTGAAGAAAATATTCTAGCCTCAAGTTGCACTACTGAAGGATTCTACTGGCAAAACACTGAAAAAATGCAGGAAGCATCAAAAGAAGTTGGAAGGAATACACAGAGTCACTGTACCAAAAAGAATTGGTCAACGTTCTACCATTTCAAGGGGTAGCATATGATTAGGAACCGACGATACTGAAGGAAGAAGTCCGAGTTGCACTGAAGGCACTGGCGAAAAACAAGGCTCCGGGAATTGACAGAATACCAACTGAGATGTTTCAACAAACAGATGCAATGCTGGAAGCGTTCACGAAGCTATGCCAAGAATTCTGGAAGACGGCTATCTGGCCAACCGACTAGAAGAGATCCGTATTTGTGCCCATTCCAAAGAAAAGTAATCCAACAAAATGTGGAAATTATCGAACAATATCATTAATATTACACGCAAGTAAAATTTTGCTGAAGATAATTCAAAAATGGCTGCAGCAGCACATGGACAGGGAACTGCCAGAAATTCAAGCCAGATTCACAAGAGGATGTGGAAAGAGGGATATCACTGCTGATGCCAGACAGATCCTGGCTGAAAGCAGAGAATACCAGAAAGATGTTTACCTGTGTTTTACTGACTGTACAAAGGCATTCTACTGTGAGGATCACAACAAATTATGGATAACACTGCAAAGAATCGGAATTCCAGAACACTTAACTGTGCTCATGAGGACCATGTACATAAACCAAGAGGCAGTTGTTCGAACAGAACAAGGGATACTCCACGGTTTAAAATTAGGAAAGGTGTTCATCAGAGTTGTACCCTTTCATCATACTTAAATTCAATTTGTATGCTGAGCAAATAATCCAAAAAGTTGAACTATACGAAGAAGAACACTGCATCAGAATTAACAACCTGTGATATGCAGATGACACAACCTTGCTTGATGGAAGTGAAGAGAACTTGAAGCACTTACTGATGAAGATCAAAGACTACGGCCTTCATTATGGATTACACCTCAACATAAAACAAAAATCCTCACAACTGGACCAATAAGCAACATCATGATAAACTGAGAAAAGACTGATGTCGTCAAGGATTTCATTTTACTTGGATCCACAATCAATGCCCATGGAAGCAGGAGTCAAGAAATCAAACGATATACGGCACTGGGCAAATTTCCTGCAAAAGGCCTCGTAAGACTGTGAAAAAGCAAAGATGTCACTTTGAAGACTAAGGTTCCCTGACCCAAGTCATGGTATTTTCAATCAACTCATGTGCATGCAGAATCTGAATAAGGAAGACCAAAGAAAAACTGATGTCTTTGAATTATGGCGTTGGTAAAGTATACTGAATATACCATGGACTGCCAGAAGAACAAACAAATCTGTCTTAGAAGTACAGCCAGAATGCTCCTTAGAAGCAAGAATGGCAAGACTTCATCTCACGTACTTTGGACATGTTATCAGGAGGGACCAGTCTCTGGAGAAGGACATCATGCTTGGTAAAGTAGTAGTTGTTGTTAGGTGCCTTCGAGTCAGTTGACTCATATAGTGACCCTATGTACAACAGAACGAAACACTGTGCCATCCTCACAATCGTTGTTATGCTTGATGAAATGGATTGACACGGTGACTGCAACAATGGGCTCAAACATAGCAATGATCGTGAGGATGGTGCAGGACTGGGCAGTGTTTCATTCTGTTGTACCTAGGTTCGCTATGAGTCAGAACCAACTCGATGGCACATAACAAAAGCAGCAATCTTTAACGGAGTATATCACTAGATCTTTTCTCCAGCTAAGTTAAAGTTTTTCAAATACACAGCATTCTGTTTCAGCATCTACCTATGGCACTTTCCATTGGAAAATTATAAATGGAGCTCCAAAGCTCTCCATTTCTCATCTGTCTACGTATTTCTATTCACTAAAATTATTGTAGATCCAATTATACTACCCATATCCTGTTCTTTGGAAATGGTTCCATCCGTTTTTCAAGACAACTATGATGGATCCATAAATTGATACCCAAGGAGCTCAATCAATTACAGGTTCTGGGAAAATGTGTCAGATTTGTGCCTATCTTCAGCATGATAACATCACTCATCCACATTAGTTATGGTTCCTCTTTCCAAATTATTTATAAGCCTCAGGTCAGCTTCAGAAAGTTCGTATTTCCATTTCACGCTTGCTAATCATGCCTTAAGTGGAGACGATCAGAGATGCAAATTAATTGCAAACTGTATGAAGGATGCACAAATTAAAAACTATGCAATTTAAATTATTAATGCGGTAGTAATTCAGAGTCCCTCTGCAAACACTAGCAATTTCAACTATTTTATATCACTCAATGCAAACTAAATTTGCCAATTTAAGTAGAAACAGGGAAGACTTGGTTTTCTTACTTTCTTCTTCCCACTTTTCAATTCCCTCTTCCTTTTTCTTCCATTACCTTCTTAGTCTCTGTGCTTTGAACCCTACTCTTCCTGTATCTGCTTAACTTCAGCCCCATTGTACTGCCAGCTCTGATCAATTACACATTTCCCTACTTTAGTTTAAGACGTCATTCTGAATACTTCGTATTTTACATTCCACCAGTCCATTCAAAGAACCTGAATCAGTTCCACTATGGAAAAAAAAAAATGAAAGCTTACTTCTCCAAGGACATTTGTAGGCTTACATGTATTATGCTATTATGTGATTATATGCAAAAAAATTTTAAGAATATATTACAATTACAGTGACATTATTGGAAGTAACTGTTGGGAATACTTCTGCATCTACTGTGTATCTGAACACAGCAAAAAAGGAAAGTAGTCAAAATTTAACTGTGAAACAGCCCATATGAAAATGAAAGCCTAGGTAAGAGAAAAGAGTGTTCAGATGAGAACGAATAGGTTTAGCCAAATTTTCCAGAGTAGTAAAGTTTGGCTTTACTTGCATCTGCTTTCCATAAATGGAGCCAAACCACGGCTTAAATGTTTAAAGGCACAAAAGATTATTAACATAAACTGGGGAACATTTCTAATTAATAAAATCGATTTAATTGGAGTGTAGGATATTTTACCAATTTTTCTTTTTTAGAAACAAACATGGGTATCAATCAATAAACGACAAATCAGTAAAGGAAACCATTTGATTAAAACATCTTTTGAGTTTCTCAGATGAAATGTCACAGCTTTCTCAAAGCACATCGCTACAAATTCTAAATCTTGTGAGTTTTCCTAAGACGTTTTTAAGTAGCATGAGTAAATATCCTTAATCATAACTAAACTCAGGCAAAATTATTTCAGGAGAAAAATACCGTGCATGCTCACCTGGCAAGGCTGCTTCATTTTAATAGCTATGACGTGGTATCGGTAACAACAGAGCTCACAGGTCCAGGAGCCCCTCTCACTAATCCACTTCAGCAAGCACAGCTGATGTGTATATCGAACTGACCCATCACATCGGCAGGGGTTCAACAGCTCACCCTAAAAAGAAACCAGCTCAGTATGAATATTTATGCCTGTGTCTCTGTTTTAAACATCCAGTGCTTGCTTTCTTGCCTTTCAAAGCCACTTACCCAGAAGGATATAGGCATCAAGCTCTAGCCTCAAAAATGAAATTAAAATTTTATGCCTCTGATGGGAATGAAACTAAAGTCTTAAAACTATTTCAAAGATACTGCTTAGAGTTGTGACATAAATGTTCTACCAACATACAACACGCCTGAAAGATATAACTCCCAATACCCTTGAGGAAAAGCGGTACTATTAAATCTCTTTAATAACTTTTAAGTGGATAGTTAGATGCATTTCCTGCGCAGTTATCCTTAATTGTTACTAAAGAAGAAATTCATGGCATCCCAGAAAGCAGCTTGCAATAGCATTAAGCTTTCGTTTTTTTCTAAATGTAGCATCATAAATATTGACTTCGGGCACTATATTCCTGAAAGCCTGCATATTCTATGCAATTTCCTTACTTCTCAAAAAGTAAACCTAATGTTTTCTCAGACCACGCATTTTGTGAGAGAGAGATATTATCCTTTCGTCTGCATGATCTTTCATACAAGTTTGCATGCAACTCTAATGGAGTTTATAATCTTTAAATGGTGCTGTAACAAAATACAAAGAACCTGGTTGATTAAATAGCCTTTCCTTCACAAGGTCAAAGTAAATTCTTATTCTTGTAAAAATTAACATGCTTTTCACATCAGTGAGATTAAGTCACCAAGATTTGCAATAAGGAAAGACCCTGTGTTTTTGGTTGGGTCATGTTCATCCCAGTTTGTATTCAAAGATTATATCCTCCGGGTACACTTGTAGAAAAATGACTTCACCTTAGAATACATTTGTATAAAATGGACTTTAACTTACATTCTTCAGGTTTGACTCATGTATAAGCAAAAATCCACTTTGTAATTCGCAAATGAGATACTTAGGGCATTATTATTAAAGCACCTGAGGAATGTGCAAAACAAGGTAGGGAGGAAAGTGTAAATCAAATTAAGTCCTATGTTCGCCACGGAAACGTAGACCCCGCTTCACCGAAAGGGCAAGAGGCGCACAGGGAGGCGAGCCCTGTCCCTGGTGCTGAACGGTACGGTGCCGCAAGCGGAGCTGGCGCAGCCTCGCCTAGCACCCCGCCGGCGGCCCCGGGTCCCGCCGGGCCTTACCTGCTCGGCGCCCTGGAAGCAGATCTTGCAGATGGGCTGGTGGTGCTGGTGCCCAGAGCGCCGGTCGCCGCCGCCGCTGCTGCTGCTACTGCGGCTGCTGCACATCGAGCGCGTCTCCGGCTGGTCGCCGGCACCCAGCCGCTCGCCCTCCCCGCCCGCGCCGGCCTCGGGCTCGCCGGGACCTCTCTTCTCCGCCGCCGCCTCGGGGGCTGCCGCCTCCGGGAGGCGCCTGAAGCCTTCCCCGGAGTCGCCGGCCGCCGACACCTCCTGGCCGATGGGCGGCAGGGGCGGCAGAGGCGGCGGCAGTAGCAGCTCGTCCGCGCCCCGGCGCCGCAGGGCCACCTCC